GCACCAAACCATTGCCGTGACTGCACGCGGCAGCTCGCGAACGGTTTACGAACATGTACAAGCTTAGGTTCTTTTAAGAAAAAACTTTGTTGCATTCTCATTAGCAATAAAAAGATGCTATTTAGGTAGTAGGCAAGCTGTTTGGCAGACTTCACGATTCAACTTTGAAATTGTCCAAATAGTCAAGATAAATTCCGAAAAGTCCTATATATAGAAACAAATAAATAATCGATCTAAACAATTTACCTTACCATATAATAACCTCTAAACTAAAAATAGATCACTTCCAAATTCCCATGGCTTTTTCTCGTTTTCGCTACACGACGGGACAAAATAAATACTTAGGTGTCTAAAATACTATATAAATTGGGTACCTACTTAACGTAATAATGAAATACTTGTTATCCTTCAAAATTATATAGAACTTAATATTGTGATAAAGGGTTTTTAATCTATATAAATAAAAATTAATTTCTGTTCGTTAGTCTCACTAAAACTCGAGAACGGCTGAACCGATTTGGCTAATTTTGGTCTTAAAATGTTCGTGGAAGTCCAGGGAAGATTTAAAAGGTGAGAAAAACAATTTTGGCGACCCGAAGTTTGCCGGGCCAGCTAGTACCCAATAAAATTAAGTCATATGTAAATGAAATTACAGAAAATTCCACCGATTCAAATAGGAATTTTCCAACGAAAAAGAAGTTAAAAGAGAGTCCTTGTTGCTTGTGATACAGACTTTTGTAGATACTTATAGGTTCTTGAAATTTCATACAAAAAACTGTAGTCATTAAAACATGTTTAATGTATCGTGAAAACAATAGAACTACAAATGGGGAACCTGGTACCTGGTTTAACTATCATTCGTTATTTCCACATTCATCAAACTTTTGATGCATTCGTCAATAGCAAATGAGTACTTAACGAGGTACTAATTTGATCTTTTGTACTTTGAACCCTCTTACAAAATGAAAACAGGCAACATTCATTTTGTTGATAGAGTTGAAATTCCTAAATGAGTATGAGTAGGTTACGACTTCGCTTCTATTGGTATCGCATTGTGCAATGGTCCTTGGATATGCTTGAATAGGAAATATATTAGTAGTGGAACCGGTGGAACTGTCATTTGTCCCCTAGTGTATCCTTGGCTTGAGTCGCGGAGAACAACGGGTTACCGGGGCTCCGGCTCGAAGTGCAGGAGAAGGAACGGGGTAGTTTTTAGTCAGTAAGAGTCTGACATTCCTTTCCGCTTCACCCAGGCGGGAGAAGACATTACTTAGATGATTTTCCCCACTTAAAAAAAGTGTATCCTTGGCTTAAAAGTAAATAGAAAACACATTGTGGTTCGCGTATAGGTATCCACGTTCCAGCATATTGGTATGCTGGAACGTAGATACCTATACGCCTTGGGCCGATACGCCGATACGCCTATAACCCTTGGGGGTTAATACTTATCAACTACACTACAAGAGAGATACTCCCCTTTTCTCGCAATTGTCAATGGTAGATACTTAGTAGTACTATAAAGATACGGCAACATATTGTACAAAAATGGAACTGTAACTATGATGATATGTGAAATATCAATAGCCAAAAATAAAACATAATATCTTGATATTCTGCTACATATCTTACGACCTACTTACCGTTGAAGGCGAACTTAAGAAACTCTCAGACGAGTCTCGAAGTCTCGATAGTTCAAAGAAGTATTTTTAGTTAGACTAGGTAGGTACCTATAGGTTAATAAGATAACCAATTTAGTAATTGTTATCAATCATTCGATTAGGTATTATTTATATTTATTCATGACTGCTTCTTATAAAACATAGGTAGAATATGATTAGTAATTCCATATCTACTCGGCAATAATTTCGTATTAGTTTCATAAACAGTCTGCTGTCGAATACAAAATAAAAATATAGGTAAAATGTATTTTAAACAGTTATATAGGCTGAAGTAAATTTGAATTTTAACGAGTATTGTAATTATAAGGTTTTGTTTACCACTGCAAGCTGTTCGGAACATCGTAGACCTCATTTATGAACTCGGTGAGGAGCGGCGGATTTAAACACTTTGAATCGATACATTTTTGTACGACAACATTTACGAAGGTAGCACCCAGAGAGTGAACGGGAAGCGGTGCCCGCATGTGTGCATTGACAGTGTGTTCAGTTGTAGTTTACATTTATTTTACTCAGACAGGAGTTAATATCCAAAAATGTTGTCATTTAACCGTTTTGTTAAGCTTCCTAGAAAACTTTCGAGCGTCCTCGAAAACAATTGAGCGTCCTCGAAAACTGTCGAGAGTCCTCGATTACTTTCGAGCGGCCTCGATCAATTTAGAGCATCCTCGATCGATTGCGAGCGTCTTCGAAAACAATCGAGCGTCCTCGAAACAAATCGAGCGTCCTCGAAAACTATCGAGCGGCCTCGATTTCTTTCGAGCATCCTCGATCGCTTTCGAACGTCCTCGATCGATTTCGAGTGTCCTCAGAAACTATTGAGTGTTCTCGAAAACTTTCGGCGTCCTCGAAAATATCGATCGTCCTCGATCACTTTCGAGCGGCCTCGATCACTTTCGAACATCCTCGATCGCTTTCGAGTGTCCTCGAAAACTATCGAGCACTTAGAAAACTATCGAGAGTCTTCGAAAGCTATCGAGCGTCTTCGAAAGCAATCGAACGTCCTCGAAAGCTATCGAGTGTCCTCGAAAATTATCGAGCGTCCTCGAAATCTATCGAGCGTCCTCGATCACTTTCGATCGTCCTCGATCACGTTAGAGCGTCCTCGATCAATTCCAAGCGTCCTAGATCACTTTCGAGAGTTACTCAAAATCTATCAAGCTTCCTCGATTACTTTCTGGACTTACTCGAAATCTATCGAGATATCTCTATCGCAGGGGATGCTTTTGGTGTAGTATCGCGTCGCCTTCTCCGCCACCGAAAGTGCTAGTCTGCTGACGGAATAACCTGATACGTAGCGGACCCGAGCGTACGGCGCGTCGTGTAAAATGCAGGCCTCAAAGAGTCATTAGTTCATCAGACACCACAGACGGACCCACCAGGATTGTTGCCTTGCTGGAGGGTAAGCTGTCATATGGGTACTGGGGCCTTGGCTTTGAGCAAGTGTTGGAGGGAATAGGGTGGTTTTTAGTTAGTAAGAGTTGTAGGAGTCACTTCGTCAAGAGTAATTTGAGGACTTTTTACCCACCCAACAAAAAGGGAGGCGGCATAATCGGTATTTGCACGCGGGCGCTCGAATGCTAGCGGTGGGCGTGCTAGTACCTATTTCATGTCGCGGAGAACCTAACGGGTAACCGGGGCTCTGGCTCGACGTGCAGGAGAAGGAACGGGGTGGTCTTTAGTCAGTAAGAGTCTGACACTCCCTCCCGCCTCACCCAGATGGGAGCAGTCATTTGATGATTTTCCCACCTTAAAAAAAGTACCTATTTCATATAACTATTTTTCAGGATAGTAACCTACATTCTATGTACCTATGCTTCTATTTCTATTACTTTGTTTCCTGCCAGAGTGATCGAAGGGCAGTCGCTGGGGATGATGACAGGGTATGAAAATTAAAAATATAATTAGTCCGTAACTTAGGTAATAAAAAAATATTAGACACGTATTTTTTTATTTTGTTGTATAATAAAACAATACTTAGATAAAACGAATCAAAGTTTAGGAGTGGGGGCTAAAACGTCATTTCTTAGTATAAAATGTACTGAGAAGTGACGTCACGCGACATTTCAAATCAATATATCTTCGAAACTATTCGTTTCCGTAAGAAAATAAAAAATACGTGTCTAATGTTTTTAAATAATCTACCAGACGGACATTGAAAAAAAAATTAGTCGTCTACCCCGTTGCCGTTACTACACGCAGAACTTCGTTCGTAGTTTCGAATAATATTTTATTTTCTCAAGCAGGATTATACCTTTCCGTTGTAAAGGAAAAGGTTGAAACTACTTGTACACATAAATACATATTTAAAAAACGTAATTCATCAGACGAATATGAAAATGTGACTCTGAGCGCCATCTAGGTTGCATTTCCCGCATTAACATGACCGTATGTTTGCTACGATTTGATTAAAATGAATCTACACGAAATTTATTGTTTATTTATTTATTTATTTATTGTTAGGGGCAACGGCCTCTTGAAAAAGTGTATTTGCTGTCTTTACATAAAAATCCATTATGATAGGTTGCTCTCATTAAAACAGGATTAGGTAATTGGCAAAAATGGGTGTATAATCATTAATACACCTTTACCATTGCTGTTAAGGAATAACAGAATCATAATAATATTTACAGTACCTTATTGCTATTATCTTGTATCGACACTATTGTTAAGAAATTCGAAGAGAACAAAGCCTTTACTCCTTATTATCATTTGCTCACTATTTATATACACTGTACCCAGCTCAAGTCAAGAATTCCGAATACTATAATTTTCTCGAAGGAGACATATTGAGTACTATAAAACACTAGGTACCTCAGGCTATAAAAACAGGCACGGCATATGGCATTCCTTGCAAAATTAAAAAAAAAAACTGCTCTGGCCGCAAGATGCACAACAGGTGTCATTACAACAGATTGGCAGGCTGTCGTTTAAGTAAAATCAGTGTTAGGGGCTAAAAAATAACAAACGAATGTTAATATTTACATACTTTTATTTTATTCTACAGTCGTTGGGACCATTGCATTTATCACAAAATAATGTATCTATTCAATTCAATAATGCTATCGTTACAAAGAGATCATTTAAGTATGTATACCTTTTCTTGTACATAATATTCAATGCCACGAAATGCAATTTAATATAGTATTTGTAAAGAAAGATACATTTATTAAAATAGACGTAATTCTCTTCAATTCGCGAAAAATCAACCATTATCGTATTTTTTTAAACTGATGTTTTGTCATCTTATTTCTAATATATACATTTAAAACTATAAACTTAAATAATACTTAACAAATAAAATAAAAGATGAAACAAAACTAAAATAACTATTTACAAAGAGCGTCAAAAACTTCGTCGCGTTCTGCGCGCGCCTCTAAGAGCCATCAGGCTACCACAGATAGGGCGCAGTAAGGCTGAAGAGAAGAAGCTGCGGAGGAGTTAACGGGTTGCCGGGGCTCCGGCTCGCAGAAGTAGGAACGGGGTGGTTTTTAGTCAGTAAGAGTCTCTTGTCACTCCCGCCTTGAGTGAGTGTGTGTTCTGACACTCCCTCTCGCCTCATTCAAGGTGGAAGAAGTCATTGCATAATTTCCCACTCCTCAAAAAAAGGTTACACTATATTTTCCTTGGCCATTCAGATTAGATTATAGTATTTGCGGCGTTAGAAGTAAGTTGTTTTGGACGCATGCAGTCGTACTTAAAAGATGAAACGGCGCGAGTGTCTATTGTGTATTGTAGTTTTATAATTAATGAAATTAAATGGCTACCGCATGGGAGACAAGCGTGAGGTTATGTATGTATGTAATTAATTAATTGCTTTTAATGGTTAAATATACTACAATGTCTTTAACAGCCGACTGTAAACTGAAGAACACAAATTTTCGACTAGTGTAGGTGTGTGTCGATGAGTTAACATACCGCGTAGCGCAAACACATTTATCGAAAACGTCATGACATATTATGGTGACACTAAATCGACTCGCATACATTCATATACTAGGACATATACTAATCATCAGGTGGATAACTTATATTATTAGACATCATAGTTCTTAGTGTATAAACCAGAAAACTGTAACAGTTACACCAAAATACTAACAATTGTCTACTGCACTCATTGTGACATTATGTATAACGAACCTCTAATTACTGATTTATCTTATCAGACTTTTAGACAGTGAATGAAGCTTAAGACTTCATTTTTAAAACAACGTAACAACAACTAAGTATTTCATACATATTTTATACACACTAACACTATCAATCTACCAAAATTGAAATAGGTTTTCACTGATTTCCAACCTTATCCCGTTAAAGAAGTCGAACATCAATAAAATCTCATAGTGAGAGTTTTAAAGTATAGCTGTTAACATATCACCAAGAACCGCGATCATTGCTGGGACTAGTCGGAGTGGGGCTGGAGTCGTTCAGCAAGGAGTCTTCGGTTTCTTCATCATCAGGCTTAGGTTCCTCAGCAGGATAGCGGCAGAACGGACAGTGACCCTTTGTCACCAACTGGATCTCGAAGTCTTCTAAGTAGAACAGCTGTAAACAATATAAAGTGGCGTTTTTAGTCTTAAAGACTACTGTAAAATGCGATAATTAAAAAAATCTGATAACAAAATTAACAGCTTCACGCTTGGAAACTGGGTAGAATATCGCAATTTAATAGGATTGGTTTTGTAATAGACAAAACCAATCCTTTATCGAATCTTACGACAGCCGGAAGAAGAGGTGACAAATTGCAATTGCTTGTCGTCACTAAACGGTTCCACGATTCAAAGGGTATAGCAACTTACCTTATGGCAATGCTGACATGCAGTAGCTGGTAGTTCAGGTAACATGTTGCGGTACATGACAGGTCGAAGTGGAGGCCGGTTGATCACTATCACACTCGCTGGACTGAGTTGCAGTAACGCTCCCCGACTGCATACGACTACTCCAACATCATCGTCCTATGAACAATATTTTTTTATGGCATAAGCCGGTAAACGAGCAGACGGATCACCTGATGGTAAGCAATCGGCGTCGCCCATGGACACCTGGAACACCAAAGGCGTTACAAGTGCGTTACCGGCCTTTTGGGGATTAGGAGTTTGAGTTCGGTAACCTCACTCACACGACGAAACACAACGCAAGCGTTGCTTCACGTCGGTTTTCTATGAGGCCGTGGTATCACTCCGGTCGAGCCGGCCGATTCGTGCCGAAGCATGGCTCTCCCACACTTAAAGATTATGTTAAAGATTCGCAGTCAACTAGCTTGACTAGCTTGAAAATAATAAAAAAATGTGGAACTAAAGCAACTGCCAGCTTACCTCATCAACTTTATCTAGAAACGGGTCAGTGCTGTCCACATCGTGGTCGATTCTCAGTACTTCAGCTCCGTAGTCTGTGTTGTCTGCGAGGGTAGACTCTGGGAGCGGGGCGCGTTCTATCAGGTCTAACGCTTCTTCAAAACTTATCCCTTCTGCAGGCTCGAACTGGACTAGAGGCAGGACTTCTGTAAGAGTAAAAAATTAAATAACATCACGCCTTTTAACCCCGGAGGGGTAAGCACAGGTGCACATTACGGAAATTAATACCACTGTACAATGTAACACCCACTTTTCACTACTTATGTTATGAGTCCCATTCCCATGTAATAGGGCCTATCTAATAGGTCCTATCTAATAGGTCCTATTGCCATATACCGGGTACAATTCAAGACTCCGTACTATAATTGAGAATTTTATTTTAAAAGACCCAGTAATAATTTGCCCGACCCGGGAATCGAACCCCTTACCCGGTAATCGCACTTGCGTCAACTCGGCAAACGTGGTAATAAAAAAAATAATAGATGTCGAAGATAAGCAAGGGTTTTCGGGTCTGGAGTAAAAGTAAGTTTAGTTCACAACGCAACTAATATTTATACAAGTCAACTGTATAATAATATTATTATTTGATCGGTTTTGGTTTCGCGACAAAACTATGTGTACAAAACTAAATATAAGTAATATGAAAACGTTTATTATTATACAAAAAAGTTTAGAAGTAGTAAATAAAGTACTAACCATGTGTAGCGAGTGAGTGCGCAAGCGCATGTCTACAGAAAGGACATCGAGTGGCACACAGCGGGGGCGTGTGACGTCGACAACGCCAACACAGTGGCGCCACCTCGTCGTCCCGAGACACTCCCCCAGTACTAGCGCGAGTCTTCAGGATTAGTAGCTCTACACTCTCCTAAATGAACATGGCCAACACACACATAATAAATTATTTATTAAATTAGCTTTGCACGATTAAAGTTACTTCATTTCATTATCGCTAAATGCCGACTGATCGCAAAGACTTGGCTATACAAGGTAGAATTTTGACACATTTTGTCTATCTTATAAACATTTCTAATGACAGACAAGTTATTAAGACGTGTGTTTAGTCAATACAATAGGTTAATACTAAGTTTTATAGCATCAGTCATTAGATGGACTGGGCTTTACAATTTAGTGGCGCGCTTTAGAGGGCATGAAAAAATCATTCTTCATATCTAGTTGAATTGATACAAACCTGAAACTTGTGTGGTATCTGCAATCCCAATATTTTGTCCAACATTTGCCGAGCCAGCGTGTTCGCATTCAAAGCTTTTGCTTGTTTCGATAAGCAAAGATACAAGCAACTGCGTTATTTGTTAAGGAATATTTACCTATATGCATAGAACATTGGTAATTATAATAATAGTATTGTTACTATACCGCTCTATTATCACCTGATGGTGAACAAAATGTAAATGAACCATGTACATATTTTGTGTCCATGGGCACCATGAGCAGTGCCAATGTTTTGGAAAAATGTAATTAGGCAATAGGATAGTGCCTCCAGACTCTAATCTTTTTCAAAATATTAATAATGTACCCTAATATTCCCAAATGAACATTGTTATATTAAAGTTTGATTGAGATAAATTCTTCTTCAATAGATTTTCAACCTTATACATGTGTAAATAAATTTGAAATTCTATCCCTATACATGTGTAACAATAGAGAACATAACACATCACGCCTTTTATCCCCGAAGGTGTAGGCAGAGGTGCACACAGAAGTAACATCCACTTTCACGATTTATGTTATGAGTCCCATGTAATAGGGGGTGACCCTATTGCCATATACCGGGCACATTACCAGACTCCGTACTACTACTGAGTTTTTTTTTAAAACCCAGTAATACTTTTCCGACCCGGGAATCGAACCCGAGACCCCTTGCTCGGCAGTCGCACTTGCGACCACTCGGCCATCGAGGCAGTCAGCGAGGCAGTGCGTAATAGAGATTAATATCATTAACAAAGGATACAACATAGAAACTCCAGTGGGTGGTTCAACATCTAACAACGCCAAGATATACCGCGCCGCGTTCAATAAAGCTTCTGGTTGGCTGAGAGAAAATGGCTCGTGAACGCAGCGGTGCACGACGTCGTATGCGTGGTAGATACGGGCCAAACGGTCGTTGTGGGCGTAATCACGCAGCGATCTATTGCGTTCTCTGCAATCAAAACGCATGCGTCATGAGTAACTATTGATTACAAAAGGTTGTTTGTAAATTAACTTACTTTATTGTAACTCACGTATAATTGAAACGTGAATTCCGCGTATCTGACAAATGTAGCTAATTCAAGTTATCGCGGAAAGATCCCGCAAAACCTTAGTTGGCTACCACTGCCTTGATATGAGTTCATTTCCACTCATTTTTAACATGTAAAAATGAGTTTTAAATTCATTGAATTAATAAATTGTATGTCAGAAGTATCCTTAAGTCAATGTTAAAAGCATGAGTACCTATTACATACTAAGTAAAATAAAACAAGTGGAAAAGGCCACGAAAACATTTTTACTGCACAAAATGAATCAAGTAAGACTGCCGATGATGATGGTGCCTTATAACGCTGTACTAACGAGTAAAATTCAATCCAGCAACGCTCGACTTGCTGTATACAGCGTGTATTGACACTTACGCTTATGTATGGTAGTGAGTCATGGGTTTGGCAGCAATTAGCCGTCCAAAGTCTACCCCCATAGGAGACAGGCGTGAGGTTATGATTGTATGTACGAATGCTATTACTTACTTATCAGTAGTAGCTGCAGCAGCAGTTTCTAAGCACTGCATAGCCAGTAAGTGGTGAAGATAGCCCGCATCGGAAAACCGCTCTTCGGCTACAGCATTACCGACTAGTATCGTGAACACACGCATCGCCGTTGTTGTTTCACCAGCCATGTGGTACGCTGGAATAATTCATGTTGCATTAAAATTACAAAATTTCTTGTGTTTTAAATTTGTCGAGTTAAAACTAACATTCAGCTTATGTACATGGTTATCATCCTTACTAATATTATAAATTGGAAAGTGAGTTTGTTTGTTTGTTCCACTTTCACGCCGTAACTACTAAACCGATTGCTTTGAAATTTTGCAGACGTAAAGTTAGAAGTCTGGATTAAATAATAGGGTACGTTTTATCCCGGAAAAAAGATATTGATATTCTCGAGGGAAAACGAAATTATTGGTATAGATGGCGCTGTGTGTATTAGTATATGTGACATAGGCTACTTTTTATCCTTTTGTGACGCGAGCGAAGCCGCGGGTAAAAGCTAATGAAAAAATAAATTGAGTTCAGACATCAAACTTATACAAATTCGATTTCATCCAAAGGCTATGCTTTCCATTCGGCGTGCAATCGATGTAAGTAAAGTTTACACGTGGATTAACTTATGAACTCGAACTTCACAAGTCAAAGAATGCGGAGTTTACAAAGAAGAAAGCAGCCATTCTGTGTCTCCATTACCCACAAGAAACAGGATCTCACCTTTCTGTGCTTCAACGAACTTGTTCTCCTGCGCCATTCTGTGCGCGTAGGGTAAGTAAACTTCACGTTTACACTCAGCATGCTCCCGAGCCAATGTGAACGCTCGCGACCATTCTCCCGCAGCCACTGCTAGTTGCGCAACTTTACTGTGAAATGAACAATTTATATGTTCACAAACTTGATATAAATAATAATAAACGACTCCAATTTGGATTGTGTTCCATATGTTCGTTTCTCATAAGTGTGTAATGTCTGTTATCACCAACCTCTTCTAAATTTTAAGGAATCCCTAAGCTAAGATAGACCGCTAACATTTGTTGTTTTTGTTTTCATCCACCTATATGCGACAGTTATAATTAAGAGATGGTTGGTGAAAACACCCATCAGAGTTGTACAATAATATACTTTTAGAGGCAACTTCAGTAATAGGGTAGACGACTAATTTTTATTTAATGTCCGTCTGGTAGATTATTTAAAAACATTAGACACGTATTTTTTATTTTCTTACGGAAACGAATAGTTTCGAAGATATATTGATTTGAAATGTCGCGTGACGTCACTTCTCAGTACATTTTATACTAAGAAATGACGTTTTAGCCCCCACTCCTAAACTTTGATTCGTTTTATCTAAGTATTGTTTTATTATACAACAAAATAAAAAAATACGTGTCTAATATTTTTTTATTACCTAAGTTACGGACTAATTATATTTTTAATTTTCATACCCTGTCATCATCCCCATTAAGTAACTCATTATAAAATTCTACTTTTGTACGTAAAACGTTCGCCATTCAGACTGTTATCTGATTTCTTTTTATTATACAAATGTAAAACAGGTCGTTGAAGTATTACGTACGTATAGTCTCCAAGTCGTTGGTAGACGTCTGCGGCAGTCGCTGGCTCACCAGCCTTCACTAGCGCCTCAGCCACAAACCGAAGAGAGCCACTCGAACCCTTGTCCAGTTTACGTGCTAACTCGATTAACCTGTTTTAAAACAAATGATTATATATCCAATAGGAGCTGTTCTTATTTGTACCTATACTTCAGTACATGTAATAAGGATAGAAAGATATAAAACTAGTAAAATCGCTGTCGCTATCTTTTGTTATTCTACATCCATCTTTCAATATGCATGTGGCGCCCACATTTGAAGACGAGTGTGGCGATAAACCACACCATTTATATTTTATTAAAGACTAGCTAATTTCGTCTCGCTCGGTTTTTTCGCTCTGCTCAACTCCTATTGATCTTAGCGTGATGTCTATAGCCAACGCCGAAAAATGGATTATAAACACAAAAAGAATTATTCAATTTCGACGAGCAGTTTCGGAGATTGCCGCGTTCAAACAAAAAAAAAACAAACTCGGCTTTATACTATTCATAAAATAAAGTATATAAGTAAAAAGTATACAGAATTATTATTATACGAGTACTTGTATTACTATGTTATTTCTTACTTACATATCTCTTCTACCAGTTTCCGCCATAAGTTCTGCAGCTCGTTTTACGTCTCCTGCCGCGAGATACATCTCAGCGGCCGCCCGGGGCTCGTTCACATGTCTAGCCCACTCTGCTCTGCGTCGAGCGAGCGCCGCTAAGCCTTCGCCCTCGCCTACGTATTCCTGAGAAGTTAATTGGTAATACTGTTTTTACAATATATTTTTATTTTCATTTGTTAAGCTATTAAATAATTGTATTGACCGGATTTGAGAATCTGATAATGTTTTAATGAATGTAATGTTTTATGTTTTCAAAAGATGTAGAATAGGGTAGACGACTAATTTTTATTTTAATGTCCGTCTGGTCGATTATTTAAAAACATTAGACACGTATTTTTTATTTTCTTACGGAAACAAATAGTTTCGAAGATATATTGATTTGAAATGTCGCGTGACGTCACTTCTCAGTACATTTTATACTAAGAAATGACGTTTTAGCCCCCACTCCTAAACTTTGATTCGTTTTATCTAAGTATTGTTTTATTATACGACAAAATAAAAAAATACGTGTCTAATGTTTTTTAATTACCCAACTTACGGACTAATTATATTTTTAATTTTCATACCCTGTCATCATCCCCATTAATAACGTATAACAGTACCCCTATATGTCGTTGGTTCACAACTTATACTGTTTTCATTGAGATAGATGATGACAAGTCTTTTACCAAACAGTACGCGCAATACAATACCTCATGTTGGTACGACCAGCATCAAAAGTCGATGAACACATTCAGATTTTCAAAATCGCTGTACAGTGTTTTACCTAAATCGGTTATCATGACAAGCGCCAGAAATAAATAATTATCTTGTGTTGCATTTAAAGTGCTTGTCATGTTCGCCGATTTAAATATAGTACGATCTACAACGATTTTGAAAATTTTAATGTGTTCATCAATTTTTGACGCTGACCGTACCATTCAAAAATATTTCAATCAGATTATCTAACGTGCTTGGAAATCTCCCAGAAACTCATCCTGTCACTCGCGTAACAAAAAGTTGCCAAACGTCATAAGTTTTACAAGTAATAACATAACATCACGCCTTTTTAACCCCGAAGGGGTAGGCAGAGGTGCACATTGCGACACTTAATGCCACTCTACAATATAACACCCACTTTTCACTATTTATGTTATGAGTTCCATGTAATAGGGGGTGAGCCTATTGCCATATACACAATTCCAGACTGTGCTACTACTGATATTTTTTTTAAAAACCCAGTTATACATTGCCCGACCTGGGGACCGACACTCCTTGCCCGGCAGTCGCACTTGTGGCCACTCGGCCAATGAGGCAGTCTTACAATTACAGTTTTACAAGTAATGTTCGCTACATATACTATATGACAACTAAAACGTACTTGAGCTTTATTGAACATCCGGAGGTCGACATATAAGTTTAATGCCTTTTCATCTCGGCCCACACTTCGATAAGAGCGCGCTGCATCAGCATACCGGCCTCGGTACGCCATCACTTCGCCTAATACCACTGCCCTTTTCTCACCAGCCTCGAAGCGTTCCTGTTGGTAAAAATAATGAAAATGAACAATTACAAATAAATATCATAAAATTTCAAGTATTTAATACATTTCCCACGATGGACTGACCATTTCAACGACGGCCACACACCCGTTACACGTTACGCGGCTGCCCCGCAACGTGTAGCGGGTTCGATTCTCATACGGAGCATATCTTTGTATGATCCACAAAGTTTTGTTTCGGGTCTGGGTGTTATGTGTATGTGAACTTGTATGTTTGTAAATGCACCCACAATACAGGTGAAAATTTTAGTGTGGTGCAAATTTAAAATAAGAAACATTCTACAAGGTCCCCAAATTATTGTGTGCCAACGGCCTCTGCGTGTAAGACGGCCCTGAGGCCTTAGTACGAGTTTGTACGTTAAAAGTAATCGTAACGAGTACGCGTCGGGTGCTGTGATTGGCCGGCTCCAATAAACCAACCAATCAGAGCACTGAACGCGGTCACGTTTCGATAACTTTCAACGTAAACCAAACTAGTAATACGCCCTCTGATCACCCCTACCCTTCGGGCCGTAAGAGAGAGCGTAGAGCGCAGAAATAACGCAAACCTTGTATAAAAACATTTATTCAACATTTTACCTGTAAATGATCAATGAGGTTCAGGAACATAATATTCTCGCTTCGTTGGAAGGCTTTTCTAGCGATTTCGAAGGCCAGTTCTTCTAAAGCAGCCATGCCAAGACGCTCCCAGTCTAGTGACGTCACGCCTAGGCAGGCTACTGAATATGCTTCACTGGAATTTAGTTGTTGAAAATTTTATCTTGATGAAGTTTTGATTTAATTTATTAAATTTAAATTATTTAACTGTATTAACAAGGTACTTAGGATTATAATAGGGGAAGTTTTGTAAAGTTTATTTTATTGTCCGTCTGGTAGATTAATTTAGACACATACTTTTTCTTTTCAAACAAAATTCAAAATTAAATACTTTCGAGGGTATATTAATTTCGAATATCGTGTGACGTCACAGCGTGGTACATTTTGTAGTGTGACGTAACGACCTCCCACTTCCAAACTTAATGCGATTTTATCTAAGAATTATAACTATATACGAGAAAATAAAAAATACGTATTTAATATTTTTTAATTATCAAACTAATGGACTAATTAGATTTTTCATTTCCATACCCTATTATGATTTATTTGCTGTAAATAATATTTTCTAGTGGTCAGCGTTCTATGAGAAACACAGGTGTTACAAGTCAGTTGTTACTCATAAGGCCTCTGCCTCGATTTTGGCGGGCAGCGGGGCGGCGGCGGCACTGCGGTTGGCACTGCTTGACTAGAGTGCACCGCTCGTTGCCCGCCCCAACGCCGCTGTGTTTTCGAGAACCAGTCCATTTGATTTTACGCATAAGATTCTGCCGCTCCCGCGCCGCAGCCGCCGTGGCCCGCAGCCCGCAAAATTCGAGGCAGAGGCCCAATGGAAGTTTTCGGCTTAGCTCTTCTGCATAAAATTTGCTTAAATCAATTGCGTACTTGCCAACTAGACAAATCCAATACTTTTTCAAACTGTCAAAACCGACAGTTTTCTACGAATTTTGTACGAGATTATATATTGTGATGTCACGTTTTTTTCAGCGTCAAACAGCATATTTATTTCTTAAAAATTTGCTGATAAAATATTAAAACTAAGTTGGTTATAAAATTAATTAATGAAACTGTGATTATTTTTTAATACTTTATGGTATTATTGAACAGTCCAAAAAAAAATTTTGATAAAAGATAGTACCCCATTTTGAAAGACTCATCTAGATCTTTTATTTTATGTTTAATCTGTCTCTATCAGTAAATTAAATCTTTTTAAGAATATTCCTCAAAATATAATTTTCTAGACAGTTTTAGCAAAGTTTAATGGTTTGGTAAAGCCTTTTAGCAAAATTTAAGTTTGTGGAAAGAACCTGTTTGATCCTAGAACCTGAATAGCATTACTTTGTTGTGATCTCGTAGTAATTTTAATAGTACTTACATCCTTTTAAAGATACTCACTGCAATAAAAGTGTAAATGATGATGATATAAAATTAAGACCTAATAAAGTTCAATAAAGAATATTAGGCATGATAACTAAACGTTTATTTATCTCAATCAGTAGACTAGTCTAGAAACTCACTAGATAGGAAAACCAAAGGTTTCCTTACAAACCCAAAACTCAATTAATAATATAATCTGATTTATATAATTTATACGTAACCAACCGACCCGCAGTCTTCGTTCTGTTTAATTTTTTTTTTTCTCTACTTAAACCTTCCCTGGACTTTCACGAACATTTCAAGACCAAATCCAAATCGGTTTAGTCGTTCTGGAGTTTTAGCGGGACTAACCAACAGAAATTCATTTTTTATTTATTATTTATATAAATAACTAGCTACTTCCGCGCGGTTTCACACACTCTACTCAGCTTCTATTGGTCGTAGCGTGATGTTTTATAGCCTATAGCCATCCTCGATAAATGCGCTATCCAACACAAAAATAATTATTCAAATCAGACTTGTAGTTACGGAGATTAGCGCGTTCAAACAAACAAACAAAAAACAAACTCAACAGTATAAGATGTAACATAACAAATAAGTTTTTTAATTATTAAATAATATATTTTCCTATTTTTAACCGACTTCCCAAAAAGGAGTAAGAGCGTTTTCGGCTACTCTGGGAGTGGTCCCATTTCCACCAATTCAGGATCTGGTGATGGGATCCCATGGAAACCGAAGAGAACTTTCCTAAATTGTTGGGGCGGCGAGAACATTTGTTATTTTTTTGATGTTGTAGTATTTGAAACTACCATAATTTGATGAAGGTGTGGAGTTGATCTGATGATGGAGTCAAGGGACAGCCGAGGGAACTCCTCAAGGATTTGTAGCAATGACTCTGTGTTTGGGCTTAAATTATTTGTATTGAAAAGATGGAATGTGATAGTCATTAGGGGCTGATGATGAAGTAGTATGATAGCTAAGGGAACTCCTCAACGGCTAACAGTAGCTACCTGGTGTTTGGGCTCGATTAATTTCTAGTGTTGAGAACTTTACACCTAAATTGAGTATGATTATCATTAGGGGCCTGATGATGAAGGATTATGATAGCTAACAGAAATCCTCAACGGCTGACAGTAGCTACCTGGTGTTTAGGCTTGATTAATTTGAAGTGATGAGAACTTTACACCTAAATGAGGTATGATTATCATTAGGGGCCTGATGATGAAGGAGTATGATAGCTAAGGGAACTCCTCAACGGCTGACAGTAGCTACTTGGTGTTTGGTTTTGTGGCACCGACTTCTTACCTATCAGTGGGTGGGTAGGTAACTTATAAGTACATAATTATAGGTAACTAATAATAGTTAGTTTTTGCTCTTTAGTTTTACCTTTTGTGTAATTTGAAATTGCAACATTTTTGAATGGTATGTGGGACATATTGGGAAATGGTATGTGGAATATTCCAGGGTGGGGAGGTTAGGGCTCGCAATAAAACATGAATTAGAAAGCCGAAAGTTTATTAAATGCCAAAATGCTACCACTCGATGATCATAAAAATCGTTACACACAAAATATGAAAAAATAAAACGATCGCATAGAATTTCAACATAAAAAAGACCAGAATATTTTATATCAATTTAGAAACAATATTTTCAATCAAAAGCCAATTTTAGAGATACAGGTTCACATTTTTGCTTTGCATCATGTTTTCCATGGATCTTTGGACGGTCCACAATTTACTTCGTTTCCAAAGATATCACAATTTTAATATAGCCTAATTTGATTTCCAAAAAGTCGTATTGTCGGGTCAGATAACTGTCATTATGTCTGGAAAACGGGTATTGATATTATATGTAGCATACAAGTTGACCGAATATTGATGGTGAAAAAATAAATTAATGCCAAAAGTTGGTCTTTACAATGACCACTGCGATCGATCCTTACATTCTAGAACACTACAAAAGTCACACGAATACACACATATATTATAAGAGAATGGATATGATGGAAATGTTATACAACGACTGTCGTTGTGTTACTTAACAATGTAAAATAGACGCTGCAATAGAGTTAATCGTAAGTAAAAATATGGAACCTTAACCTAAACACACACTTAGACTAACATACAAAAAGATCTCCTCACCTGTAAGATCATTATGTGCCATTTACAATTATCAAAATAAGAAAGACATCGTCACAATTAGATACAAAGAGCTTACACAAAAACTTACATCTAACACATGTTAATATTATAATGCAATGTACGAGTTTGCCCATATTCCTACATTTTTTTGTTGAATTTTTATATTTTTAAATTTTTTTTTTGATTATTTTCGTTTTTTATTTTTTTTTGGAATATTTTTATACTTTTATTTTTTTTTTGGAATATTTTTATATTTTTATTTTTTTTTTGAATATTTTTATATTTTTATTTTTTTTTTGAATATTTTTATATTTTTATTTTTTTTATGATTTTTAAACTTTTTTTAATTTTTTTGTTATTTTGTTATTTTTTATTGTTTTTTATTATTTTGTTTTTTTTTTTAGTTTTTTTACTAGTTTTTATGGTTTTTAATTTTTTTTGTGCTTATTTTTATTTTTTTTTAACAGTTTTTAAACATTTTAATTTTTTTTGTGCTTATTTTTATTTTTTAATTTTTTTTTTCTTATTTTTGATTTTATATTTTTTTTGTCATTTTATATTTTTAAATTTTTTTTTATTTTATGTTTTATATTTTTTTTTATTTTTATGTTTTATATTTTTTTTTGCATTTTCATATTTTTTAATTTTTTTACTTATTTTCATTTTTTAATTTTTTTGTCGTTTCTTATTTTTTATTTTTTTTTTATTTTTATATTTTTTGTTCTTAAAACGTCCCATGATGTTATAATGTCTTGATAGACTTATATCTAACGCAATTATTACACGTCTAGCATTGATTCAAATAGAAACGTTATAGAAATCTTAACTATCTTATATACTACTTATATGAATTAGTTAATGTTACACTTAACGCACAATCATAACAACGGTCATAAAAATAACATAAACGGGTACTGTACGTAGCTGGCGTAGATAGCGGGTATTATACATAGCTGGCGTAGCTATTCATTGTAAATGTTACCAATAGCAACATTTTCGTTATTTTTTTTTGAAGGCGGAATAAGTGTCTCTCTAAAAACCACCCCGTTCCAGCCCCTGTTTAGAGGCGGAACCTTATCCTAAGTACACTATACATAATACAACTTAAATTCTAAATTACCTCATTATATACAATATATTAGTGCCGTGAACACTATGTCAGTATAGTAATAACTAATATTTACAGACTGCTACCACGTTTAGCTTGACGAGCTTGGTAATCCATATAGAAAATGTATCGAAACGTTGTTACTCCACTACCAGATGTTAGAATACATAATATCGAAGTGTAGCAATTACGAATGGGCGGCTGCCATTTGATGGTGCAATGGCTTACGACCACTCACAATAACCTATCCATCGATAGATTTAAGCACTAGCGACAGAACTTGTATACTCTCGTGTCTCTTGTCTTAATTGTATACTCAGTAACCCAGCCAACCGATAGATAGATTACTATTACTGGCCGTTAGTGATCTTATATCTAACAAAAAGTACATATATTAATTGTTGCATGTGTTCCGAAAATAACTTACATTACATGCTAATAAATAAAAGGATGTATCTTTCAAGTCCGATCCCTTAGAACTACCGCGTGCTGTTTCATACTGTCTCCCAACCCCGACTATACATCATTTACCTTATCCTAACAACTTATGCGCAAATGAGTGCAAGAAAAAGTCTATTGTAGATCCTAAAAATCGAACCCCTTCATTCTTGAAATAATTCGTCAGTTTATCATTATATTTAAGGCGTTATCCTTTTACCTCAAAAATATATGACAACTCGACGGATCATAGCTCTAATGAAGAGTAAAGAATTTTAGTTACATTCTCTGTTCACTATAGACTGTTTCTTCCACCCTTTGTTGGAAAATGAAAAGAAATATCTTTAGAAAATTTCCTAAAACAACTAACGAAGACAATGTTGGTATCTCTGTTATTGTATAGTGGGTCAATATGTATCTTTGATGTTCAAATTATGAGAATAGGTTTTTGAATCGAAACTGCCCATCTATTTAAACTAAATATCAATAAACACACACTTATCCTATGTATATCTAGGTTATTCTCTGCTGGTACCACGATGCATGTAATGATGTTAGTAAAATATTATCATTGTACAAAGCGTTGATTTAAGACCTGTTATTGCTTGGGCCCGTTGCTTTCTGGTGATTGATTTTCCAAAATTTATAAAAAAGTGTCTGAATTTATTGTTACGAACTATGTTAACCTAACCGTAATGTAACCGCCGTACTCAGAGATATTTAACAATTATTTAAACTATTCCTTAGTAACTCTGATCTCTCTTGATCCGAAAACATTTCCAAGGACTAAGTTAAGTAAGATTAGATGACTCGGAGTATGGCGGTTAGTCATACTATAGCATAATAGCGATAAAATAGCAGAGTAAATAAATAAGAATTTTTATGGAAGCTAATATTGGATTGCTAAGGCACAGCGGATGCCATGTGAGAACTATTAAATTAAAGTACCTACTAGATAGTAATTATGAACAAAATACAAACTTTTACAATAAGTTTCGAGAGAATTGCCAAAATCTGATTCTGAATTAATTAAAGTCGGGGATTTTAAGACTTTGTATCCACTTTTTGTATTTTTTGTGTTTTAAAAGAAACGAACCAAATTGATTTTCGATGTAATGATCATTGTTATTTCTATTGATATTTTGAACGGATATTGAAGCAGAAAAAGCAAAAATAACATGAAAGGTCCGAAACAATATATATAATACAATATAATACTTAAATACCACCATAAAAGGGTTTTGTTTAAATATGAAATGTGAATTACACAATCTATAGAAGAAAGTTGAAATTGGAAGTCGGATCTTGTCTTATTTTTGACCGGCCGACGGGTCGCAATTAGGCCTACAGTTTTTGCTCTCATCAGAGGTCATGTGTGTTTAATCACAGAAGCTGTAAGATGGATGGATGAACTTGCGGATGTCGAATGATTAGATACAAGAAAATATTGCCCAATTAAAAATGTATAAAGCCTGAATTACTGTAGTATCCAATATTTTTGATTTTTGTTACAAACGAATCTTTCGCATTTTCGTATGAATAGAATTTATTTGCTCAATAATTTAATCCTTATGATTGTGTATCCCAAAATAATAATATGGCGAAAAGTATAAAAGCGGACATCAGATAATTATCTTTAAGTAGTTGTTATCCAACCTGACTTGGCAAAAGCTATGTAGCACCATTTGATTCATGAAGGAAATATATATATAAGTCCGTTAACAAGAGAAATAAAATTACCTTACAGTTGACCTAAGTAAAATTACTATTTAAATGTAAATTGCAATTTCGTTCAAGGAATTTAATTATGTTAATTTTAAATTTTGTTAGGAACGATGTTATGTTCTATATCTAAGAGCATCTATTTGTGCGAACAAAGTCGCTGGCAGGAAGTTAGTGTTGTATAAAACGGAGTGAAACTTTTAATTTATGGGGATTTTTGAAATTTATGGCCTTATTTATGACATATTTGCATTTTTCCTGTATGAATCTTATTTTTTAAAGAAGGAATGGAAGGGCGTTATTTGTTGAAGAATGAATTGGAAGGATGATTTAGTCCCTACACGATATTTATAGTCAAAATTAGAGTATGTTTGCAATATTGAAATAACCGCTTTTTACTACATGCGATATACAGGTATACCAAAATAACAATTTTTAAATATTTTTTTTACTGGCTAATCTCTGATACGATTGGACTGATTTTGACGCGACTTTTACTGGCAGGTGGCTGTCGTTCTAAAGAGGTAACATAGGCTGATGTTATTATGGAAAAGTATTCTGCGCGGACGAAGTCGCGGGCAACAGCTAGTAATAAATAATTGTATACGTATAAATCTCTAACAGAGCATATTAATTAGAAAACGTGTTGCCATATTGCAATTTATTAATGATTTAGTTAGATGCAAGAAACTGTAAATATATTTTTTGTAGTATTGCATTTACCAGACTAAAAATATAAAAATATTTTAGAGCAGATATACGACTGCATGACAAGTGCTGATAGTCCTACCAAACTGATAGATTCACATCTTTAAACGACATTAACGTGGTACTTTAAATTCGTCTGAAGTAATAAAAAGACGGCTACTTATGTGTGTTTTTGATTTTAATCGAACCTATTATACCTTCAAACTATGAAAATCTCGACATATTATTATGTGACCAGAAATATTAATGAGTAAAATCATTTTGTGTAATTACCGTTTTCTAAAAAATTGTTCGAAACAGTCATTAGTCATTTTCGTCATGTCAGGTCCACAAAATCTGCATGGTTTAGTTCTAACAATCTGACGTCGAAACAAAAAGAGCGCATAGCCTAAATTACGCAAAGCATAAATAACCGCGAAGCTGCTTAAAAGTTACAGAGATATTCAGATTGGTTCCCATATTGAACAGATGTGCAAATAGTACAATAATGATTCGAATTTACGTCTAAAAATTATCCTGAGTTGTCAATACAATTTTGTCTATTTTTGAGTATTCTATTTTTGAGTTACTATTTTATAAACAACATAGGGGAACCGGATTGTCTGGATTACAAATCCGCATAATATAATCCTTATAAAAATACGCATAATTTGCATGAGCATAAAACACTTGTGAAAGGTGGTGTACTGAACAACAATAAAATTAGACTTCATAGTCAGAAATACACTTCACGAACAATTACAATTTTTAGTTATAGATTCTGATAATATTTCCAAAAATTAATTAACAAAACAGGCCGATTCGCGTGTTTAGCAAAATATCAAATCACATTTTTATAGAAACTCTATGAAATCTAGAATTACGTAGGAAACAAAATGAAGAATTTTCGGGAATTCTATCATTAGAAACTGCAAATGTTATGCACACTTAAATTATACTTCGTCTATTATGCGGATTAATAATAATGACAACGGTTACCTCGAATATTGGACCCACGCATGGAAATTGTTCTTATGGTGAAATGGTGGTTATTCAGCACTGCGTACCAGGAGCATTTCTTCTGCAGTCAGCAATCGGCCAGTCTTGTTGTTGTGGAATGTTGAACACAGGAACCAACAGGAATCCGCTCGAACTTTCAAACGTCGATTCTAATCTTACATTATCTGAAACAAAAAAAAGCGTTAGTGAAATTGTTTCCTTAACATATTTTTAGAAAATATAATGTTTTAATTTAGAAAGAATATTATTATAATAATTAACGTACCTGATGGCAACTTGATGTTGAATCGCCAAACTCATTATTCCCCCGCGCCACTAATCTCGGGCTCTCACGTCAAAAATGGAAAATCTGCAATGTTCAAATCAATTAGCAACATAGAAAAAATCAACGAAAATATTTTAATACTTATTAGAAATACATAAATTATAAAAATGTACTTACAAAAAAATTTCTGGTACAACGATGTCGGTGTCCGCGGCCATCGCGGAGTTTTCAAGATATTAAAGTTTAGTTACGGCGCAAAAGTAGTAACTGATGTATATCACTTAGCTTGATATAACTTTGAATAAATTTTAAAACAAATAGAAAAAGTCGTATCTTCCAAATTAACCACTCAATTTTGACTTTAGGAATATTAAGTTTAATTAACGGCCAATTAGAAAATAAATTCTTCGGAATTAACGGGTTTAATTTAAATAGAAGAACTTTAAATTAACTCCAAGATCACTGAACTTTACTTTTAAGGACTTAGAATAATTTTGCAGATAACTGTAATCCGCGGAAACCGAACACAACTGACTCCGATGGAACCTCAAGCTAGTCTGACCACCGCTCGCCCCGCGCCTGTTTATATACCCGGAACTAAAACGGAGGGTCCCAACCCTCGCGGCAACTGCGATACAGGACCGGATTACACAATTCCAATAAGAACAAAACTGTTTTTCAAAATTTTTGCAGCTGTAACGGTCCATGTATTAAAAAGATTTGCCAAATAATAGATCAGACTGTATTATTTAAATACATTATTATTATACTTTATTGAAACGCAAATTTTATCTTTTGCTTTTCAATAAAACTAAATACTAGTAATAGGGGGCGCTCTAAAACACTTATTGGAATACAAAAGATCTTTTATCGACAGTATTATAGGGCCACATAATAAGAACTGGACCATAGGCTGGATAATGGATATATTATTAACTGGACTGGTTAATGTTCTCATCACATTGAACTGTCGACGATTTTAAACTGATATTATAAGAGCTCACAAAAGACCACCCGATTTAAAGAACTACAAATGATTTTCCCCTTTACCCTTACAAAGTATAAAATTACAATAGTATGTACTGTGCGAATTTAATTCCGTGACCAGTACATGAGTTTGTGGTTCCTTAATAATATATTTATTTTATTATTTCCATTCAATTTATTCGTAAAGAGCATGCAGGTTTCTAACTGAGGAGTTTAAGTTCTTGACGATGGGAGACTGATTTGTTACTCGCTGATTCTTATTACAATTTCAATTGCGCTTGTACGAAATGTAACGGCGGCGGTAGTAATAAGCCTTATAAGATGTAGACCTATGTATGGGTACTTACTTGAACATTTTATGGTGAATGTATTGATGAACAGCATGGGACAGTGGCACCTTGATAGTTTGCATCGAATTCGCTTGCAAGCAAAATACTCGCCCACCCTGAAAGTCAAGTAAAGGTGTCTTACATAGATAATAAAGGCGTCTTTTTACTTACATGGAGGAGGAAAAAAACATAATTTGCGTAGAACCAATGTCTACTTGACCTATTTTGAATTAGGAGGGTGCCTTCAATAACGATTAGGGTCTATCAAGGTCAAGGTTTGAAAAAGAATAGAGGATAGGGACCTTCGTCAATGATATTGAATGTACCTTTGTACTTGTAGTTTTGGGGTATTTTATCTTAAGATTACTTCCTCATCTAGTACCTAATGATGTCAATTGTTAGTTTTTACCACGTGTTCCGAGGTCACTTTGTGTGGTTCGACCTGATTTGGTACCACGCGTTAGGGGCACGTGGAAATAAATGGGATGAAATTACGTAATTTGACCTAATTTCATTCCACGTGCCCGAAGATACGTGGGTCTTCTTAATCTGTCTCCTGTTATTAAAATCCTGCAGATATACGAGGCTGGATGGATACCCAGGCGTACAGTGCCTCTTTGTGCCCTAAGGCTTAATTCATTCTGTTTCCTACAGTAATTCACCGAGGGAAGTGGAAACTAACGTTTTCTTTCTTTTCCTCTTATAATATCTTCTGATTTTATTTCGTTGCGCGAACCAAGACAGTTATTCATGTCCTTGGGACTCGCTGGACTTCATTGTTCCGTTGTTTTCATGGTTGTATCTACTGTAGATCCTAGCATACCGGAGTTGCAGGGGTTTTGGGAAAATGTGGCGGGCTAGGCTCAGCAGTCACACTTGAATCCATCCGAACGTGAATAGGGTGTCCCAGAAGTCGGCCTCTAACCGAAACCCAGTGACCGGTTAAGTTATAAGAATTATGCATCCGATTTTATGTATCATACGGAGTCGATTAAACGTCGGCTTCTGGACCATTCAGTACGTACACAACAAAAATGTAGCATTTTCTCACCTGGAATCCAACGACGGAGCCAACCAGCGGTTGTGTGGCAGGAGGAAAGTGACAGGCCTTTATAGAAAGTAGACCACCACCAGATAAACTCAGCAGCTCGTCACACCAAGAGTTCCACGAGACTGAGGATATGTTCTCTTCCTGCAACAAATTTGTCATCATCGTGAAAGACGTTCACTTCTGAACGAAGACTCCGCGCTTGGCGACTAGGGTACGCAGTTAGGTGGTCGAAATTTTGGAGAACGCTGCTGGCCATCTCTCAGTGGCTGATTTATGCTTAAGGAAACACCGACCTATTATATCCAGGTCCTTACAACACAGGTTTTTTGTCACCCTGGTTTATTATGAGCTTAGTAATACAAAAATGATTAAACTGTGACCAGCCATTCTCGAGTTTCAAACAACGAAACTAACATGACGCACAGCATGCTTTCTAGACGACACATTGCAGCACAATTGAGCTTCGAGTTCTCAGATTAAATGAAAGAATATTATTATGAATCCTGTATAAAAGAGGGCGCCCCTGTTGACACACACGTCGTGAACAGCAAAGCAAGGACAGGGCACGTGTCAAGTGAATTAATATTAAAATTGTGCTTTTGATGTTTGAATCGCAGTTATAACTTAATTTGAAAAAGCTAGTCATTACTTCAGGTAGCGATAGGCTGTAATTGACAATCAAATCAACTGGGGGAAGGACTACAGTGACGATGGTATAATCCATCGCTGACTGAAGAATCGTGAAATTGGTAAAACAAATAAAATGCCATCATTTTGCAACATCGCATCAAGAGGATCATATTATTCTAACATCCTGTTATCAGCTCCATAAAAATGCTGCTTACCGTAAATAGCAGTTCACTTGTAGCTAGTTTGTACACTCTGCAAACAGAAGATTCGTCGACGACGGCGAGGTAGGCGCGGGAAGCACTCACATCTAGGCATCGTACTGATGCTGGAGTGTGAAGCACCATTTTAGCACTGCCTTGCCACGGTTCAACCTGCCATATCTAAAAAAGGAAGCATGCTTACGTCATTATCTTTAATTGGGCGTCAATATCCTTAATTTCGGTTACCTAAATAAATAAAATCTATATTTTTTCCTATTAAATTAATTAGGTCAGTGTACATACCTCAAATGTTCTTCTGAGGAAGAATTTTGCATAAATAGTATCAATCTTAAGTGGCCATCAGTGGCTCATAGAACCAAATCTACAAGGATTTGTTTTCCTTCACAACGGAACCCAAAAAAGGTATATAATTAAGCTTGTCAGTACATAGTCATGATCGAGGGTACCATAATAAATGGCCATGACTGAGGGTAGACATGGACTCTGATTTCTCATGGGAAATAACTGGACAAAAGACACGTGACGCTATTCATGCAATCAATGTTTTTTTATTTAATCGTCCATTATATTAAATCTAGATACTGGGCGCCAGCTGCGGGCTGGCACCGCGCACCTGGACCTTACCAAGGCCAGCACACAACAGTAGCTAATTGTGACAGACCCCTCGAAATTTCAAGTCTATGCCTGAACAAATCTTTTATTAATCTCTCTCAAAACTCTTTGCCAAACCAGATTTGTATCAACATGTAACTGGACGCTGAACGACAGATGTGTCCACAACCCTTCTGGTAGGTCCATCTGGTCAGTTTTCAAGGCTACGCCAATCAGAATTAGACCCCTTGCAGTTTCCAATCAGATGCATGAGCAACTCTTTTTATTACTAAGCCGTATCTCGTTTCAATCCCATCGGACTGTGTTGTTAAATGCAAAATAGTGCAGTATTTTTATTTCGATATTATTAAATGTGCTTGTGGATGTGTTTTGTGTATCCTTTATGTAGTGTAGCACCAGATGGCGGATGTGAGTACAATTTTAGTTATTAAAATGTTGTACATTATGTGTAGTTAATGTATTTCTATTATTACTAGTTACCGATGCGAATTAATTGCCAAATAAGGCAATACCGAAACTAAATTGACTTGGTTTAAATTCATTACGTAATTACATTTTACATGTGGCGTTCTGTTCTAGACAAGAATTACCTTTAGATTGTTTTTCCGTATGAATATTTTTTGTGTATCTACGATATGGAATTATTTTACCTGCCCGTTCATTAGTCCTAACAGCAGAACTTCTTCAAAGTATAGCGTGGTGACTTTAACATAACGTATTGGTGCAGGGACCGTCCATGATTTCGGTATTTGTCGCCCAATTATTGATAGTTTTGTATCCTGAAATGAAATATGATATTTAAGTGTGTAATTAAAACAAGAATGATTACACAATTTGAACAGAGAGAATAGCCACGTAATTTTATACCTTTTGAGATGGGCATAAGGTCGGAACTATAAGGAGACGACATAGTAATTTTAAATTACCTGACACAAAAGTAAAGCATCACTGGTAGCAACGAGGAGTGAGCACTCTGTCTTCTGAGGCAGTTTCTCTCTGACCCTGTACAGCATTCCTTCTACATCACCTTGCTCATATACCACCACGCGTTCTGGTAATTGCACCTGAAAGTTAAATAATTGGAGTCTGGGTTAACTTTGCCGTAATACTCTAAGGTCACTCAATTTTAAGTCGCGCTTAACCTCTTGACTGCCGGTATATGAGACACAATAGAAAATGCATTGTGTTTCGCGTAGATCTACGTGCCGGCACACGACGGGTTAAGTATACTTTTGTCACTACAAATTCTTTGTAAAATGACAGAGATGACACGATATTTAAGTACAGGTTAAAGTTGGGTAGCCTTTCAGAGGCCTTAGTACGAGTTTGTTTTACGTTTTAAAGTATTCGTAACGAGTATGCGTTCAGCGCTCTGATTGGTTGGTTTATTGGCGCCGGCCAATCAGATTGCCGACCGCGTAGTCGTTTAAGGTAACGTAACTCGTCGTAACTCGTACTAAGGCCTCTATATTCGGGCGATGGTCAACTAACTGTTTGACACTCTAGTAACTGTTTCACGAGGTAACTCAATTGAATTCAAGTGACACAAGGTCCTCATAGTCATGTAAAGCATTGCGCGACATACTGTAGTTACGTAGGAGCCTACGTCGTAAGGCTCAACTCATTATGTACCATTTTTTGTACAAATATGTTACACCTAAGTAGATGCTTCAGAACAGGAGTTATAGCTGCATGGTAATGACTAAGTACTATGGTTACGTCATAGTCAGCGAAATAGTATACATTTAAAGAACATTTAATCAGTACCAGCCATGACTTAGGCTTAGGCTTAGAAGATCAGTAATTTCTTTAACATACTTACAGCAAGTCTATGTTTGTAAATAGCAATTTTCTGCACTCTGTCGTGACATTTGATGCGGACTTTGTTGCCGGTGGTGAGATGTTGTATAATGACGTCAGTCATGTTCTCCCTGTACGCGTACCTCTCGCGGTACAAACCGTGTACCGTGCTGAACACCATTTGGTAGCACCAGAGTGTGCCGTCTTGACATGCCACTGCCTAGAATTATAATTATTTTACTTTATTTACTGGTGTACTGTGATATTACTATAATTTTGTGTACTAGTAATTTTCATATCGATTTTTAAACTGTATCATGTTGCTTATTATTAAAAAAAATACAACATTCTCTCTAAACATATTATAAATTCTAACTTAACAAGTTGAATACATTTATATTTAGAATAAAAGATGGTATTACATATTGTTGTGCAATCCAGACTAACAATTTTATGATAAATATGATCATCAAAGTACCTCTCTGGTCAACATACGTTTATAGGTATATACCAATACAAATATGTCTGTCTGTAATCTCACCAGATTATTAAACGTGGGCGAGGGTGCAATAGACCACACCCACTCCTGTGGCGTGTTTAGTATTGGAACCCCTTCTGATGTCAATACAGCCCACCCACCGATGCCCCCAACCAGGACCAAAGCTCCAAGCATCGTCACAGACAATGCAGATATGCCTGAAAATTTATTGAGATTTAATTAATGTGTTTACGGAATGAATCTTAAGGTTCCTCAATCTCCAAGTTTGCTTGGCAGGCATTCCTCTGCTCTTTATACATACACAAAATTACCCATGCTCTTTACCTATGAAATTGCTATTCTGCAGTACCATTTCACATCAAAATCATTTTATTTGGGCTAAGAATTGTATTTTCAAATTAATTATATTATAAAATCATGGTAATTTCCAAAAATAGTAATTTGTTTATTGATTAGTGTACATTTTTATCGCATTGCAATAGTTTTTTTATCACGGATACGTTAAAAAATCGAGTAATTATGGAATATGAGTATCGTCGTGGCAGCAACGCGGCACAAACGGCACGCAACATCAACGACGTTGACGGAGGTAATACTACAAACTAACGCACCATCTGTTATTGATTAAATCGCTTCTGTTCTGGAGATTTCGACCTGAAAAATGAACCTCGCGGTCGTCCGAAGACTTTGGTCGACCATGACCAATTAAAGGCGATTATGGAAGCTGAGGATACACAATCTACGGCTGAATTAGCAGCAGCTTTCGACGTTAGCGTCAAAACAATATTAGTTCGATTGCGTCATATTGGCAAAAAAGCTTGACAAATAGGTGTCCCACGAACTCAATGATCGCCAGCGCGAAGTACGAGTCGAGGCTTGTCTTGCACTGCGCAACAGACACACTAATGAAATTTAAACCGCATTGTTATCTGCAATAAAAAATGGATTCTGTTTGATAACAGCAAGCACTCAGTAAGTTGGTTGGATCCTGGTTCAGCACCTAAACAATGCCCTAAACGAAAACATACCCCTAGAAAATGATCCCTGTTTGGTGGTCTAGCGTCGCATCGGAGTGATTCATTATTGCTTCTTACCAAACGAGGTGAGCATTACTGCAGATGTATACTGTGAAGAACTGAACGCAATAATGGAAAAGCTGGCACATCTCCAATCAGCATTGGCCAATTGCTCATCTCCGCTGCTCCTGCACGACAACGCGCGACTTCATACTGCACAGCAAACGGTCTCCAAGTTGCAAGAACAGAAATTGGAAGCTTTCCGTTTGCCCCTACAGACTACTATCTCCTACTTCGTATAAAATGCCTATGAAGCATTTGTTCCCGTCCAGATGATTTCTTTAAGAATAAACTGCCATTGAGTTGGTAAAGATGAATTGATTAATACAAATAAAAAATACATGAAAAATATTCCTTTAAATTGTTTCATACAAAAGGGCAATTTGACAGGGACAGACCTATTATAATATTCTGTAAACTAATGTATAAAAAGGAGAAATTATTGTATTCTAACATTCCTAAAATTTAAATTAGATGTAATAATTCTGGACCAATATGGCTAAACTACTAGTTAACGAATACAATACAAGTAAAATACAAAAATAAAATACAGGTAAAACCAGATAACTGATTCTTTTTTTTTTAATTTTTGTTTAGTGAGTCATTAAACATAGAGCTGATTAGGTTTTTTTAGAAAGGTGCATGATGTTGATCCAACTCAAGTTCTTTATCAGGAAATAAAACCTGATGCATACTTAATAATATGTATTAACATTCTGTGACTGATCTGACACTTATTTAATCTTTGAAGTAATTACTCATCGATCGGTACCGAGAACATTCTGGAAATACATAGGGTGGAATTGTACATAAGGGGCTTTCATCCCTTCTATATATAGGTATACCATATGATAGGGTTGTTATTAATTTTGGCAAAGCAAGGGTGGTCCTTTCATTGATTTTTTGCTGCAACGCAATAAGGGGCCAGATAATGACTACCGGCTCTCGTACACATCAAAGGATAGAGTTTGCGAATGAAGGGTTGGATAATTAATGAAAACATGCATACATCTCCTATCAATAGGTATAAATATTATGAAGTGGAAAGCTTTCAATGTTCGTTTATATAGAGAGGGCTCCAAAATTACTGGATTGATTTGATCAGTAAATTCTTTGCCATCGGGAAACTTACTTTTCAAGGAGTACATTACTGAGTTTTAGTAGGTTAAAAAGTAAAAAGTCTTTTACCAATGTTTCTGTCCTTCAAGATCTGTTGTCCTTGAGTGTTATAGAAGGACAAAGTATCATTCCAATCTGTTACAACCAGTACTGATTTTGAAAATGCTACAGCCCACACTGCTGCATCACGAGCTATTCTGTATGTCTCATCACCCATCTGAAATACATGTTTTATTTTTTGAAAGTGTAGTCTCATATCATTTCAATTTGTCTAACAATGTAATGTTATATGTTTAATATTATATGTTTTTTATCAGATTTGTCTGGTAAACAAACAGATCAAGCAATCGGACCGCCCATGGACACCTGGAACACCAGAGACGTTACAAGTGCGTTACTGGCCTTCTGGGGATCAGGAATTCGAGGATCGTTGGGGATTCTGGGATTGGAGAGATTGGGGTAGGAGAAGGGTTATTGGTACTTCAGTAACCTCACTCACATGAAGAAACACAACACAAATGTTGTTTCACTTAGAAATAATAGGTGCACTATACCTAGTTCTTTAAGTCTGTTGATTATTGTTAATTATCTTACCTTATCCCTGATAGACACTGCGCCAATAGCCAGACCTATCGCCAGGTACTGACCATTAGTAGACCAGGCACAACTTGTGATTCGTCCAGAAACCCTGTACTTCTGGACTGCTTTGACATCCATAGACCAAAAGGCAAAATCAGTGAGAGCACATGATGCCAAGTGGTATGTCACTGGGTTGTAAGCAAGGCACTGGATTGGCTCACTGTGGCTGTGTCAAAATATAGTATCAGACATTTACCTTTGGGAAAGGGCATATATAAAATAAGGACGCTAAGCACATATTGAAGTCTTATTGGTATTGTAATGTGATCAAGAAATGACGCCAGCATAGTACTTGACACACAACTTACGAATATTTTAATATCCCTTCCATTTTGGAAGTCCAAATAATAACATTTTTATCGGCACTGCCACTTGCAAACTTCTTGCCATCACCACAATAAGCAACTGCATGGACTGCTCCTTTGTGGGCTTGGAGTAACTGGACGAGAGCTCCATCTCTAGGGTCGTAGACCATAACCTTCTCACCAGCACCTACTACCAGCTGGCTTCCATCTGGACTAAAGCATATTGTGTGGACACTGGAAAAGTAAGATAATAGTTACTCAACAAGAATAAGCATGTGAAATCTGATAAGTAATAGAGTTTGAAATGTAATGCTACCTACAATCAATACATAAAGCTCGTTTAGTCAAAATATTCGAATTATTGCTAAAGTTGTTACTGTTACTTTAATACCGACGGATTCTAAAATATTACAACTACAAGTGTAATAAAATTACGAGTCTTCCCACATGGCTAAGCTTATTTCAGATCCAATACGTATTTACCTGGAAAATTCAACTTTGTCGGCTTCATGAATTTTGTTCACCCACTTTGGAACAGTTCTCATCTTGTTTTATACGTATTGCTGGGCTTTCGTAAAACAATTATTTAATCAATCGTTACTTAATTAAGTCAGTCATTCTACAGTTTCACACAGCAATCGTCAATGTTTGATAAAATTGTGTTGGTTGACAACGGCGTCTCAAAAAATGTAAACAAACGGTAAATAGGAAGCTTCATTTACGTCATTCTTCCTGTGCTTCATGTCAAAAACAATCACAGATTAAAATTATGAAAAAGCTTCCCATTCAAAACTATTAGTCTTACTATTTTATTTACTAGAGCTGCAGTTGTGTCGAATAATACAAATAAAATAAGATCAAAAAATTATCAAATGTATTCGTTACTTTAACATGTAAACCAAACTTTTTTTATTCCCTAAATAAGAATAAAAAAGTTTTTTTATTCCCTAAATAAGAATAAAAAAGTTTGATTCCCTAAATGATTCCCTAAATGAGAATAAAAAATATTTGAATAAAATTTCAAAATGCGTAAATATTGAAAAATAAAGCAGGATTAGAAATAGAAGATCTTGAATCCCCTGGAGACGTCTATTATGCTCATGGTAAATTAAACCTCTGGATAATCACAAGACAGAGGAAATATAAAATATAGTGATCCTCATAGTAATATGATCCTTTTAAAAAAGATTACATTACCTTATGCGTACCTATATTTTACGTGACATACTATATACCTATATAACATAAATAAAACACAGATTCAATAAGACTTAAGTTAGCTGATTCACCTCTGCATGGCTCACCGGTCACAGGGACATTTTGTAAGACAAAGTAGGCAAATAAATACTAATCTTATTCTTATTTTGATTATACTTAAAAATCAAGCAGTGTGCATTACCGCTGGAGGGTAATCCTAATCGTTAGACAAAAGATAGAACGACAACAGATGAAAACGGGTCAACCACCGCCTCGCAATCTACCTGCGTATGCCACACCACACCTATTATGCTCTTCACGTCGTTACATGGAACAAGAGCTAGTCATAATTCTTCAGAGCATAACATTTATTAATAGGTACTGTATGGATTACAATTTACAACGATATTGAAGCTAAATTGAGGTATAAAAGTCTGTTCCCTAATTTCAAAACTCGGAATTGAAGTTCCGACGGAAGCGGTTTTATATGACGTTTCACCGTCACTAATAAAGTTCCATATTGTCTCGATCTAGTAGTAGTGTTTTGTTTGGATCTAGTAGCTAGTACACATGCTTCCTCGCAGGACATCAGGCGATAGCCCTAAATGAACCTTACACCCACCTAGTTAGGAAAACAAGTCGAAAGTCCGCCCAAGGTATACGTCTCTCCGCCGTCCGTCTAGCATCAATCCCAATCCAGGTACTCCACGATGGACTCGACAGCTATTCTAATATCACTGACCACGATAAGTGAGTGTGTGCTGAGTTCTGGACCATGAGATAAATGACATTCAACTTGTTGAAGAACTATTGAAATAATTAATATTTTTATCTTTGTCAAAACTTGACGATACTTTGTTTGCAATTTGATCCTTTTTGATAAGGAGTTCCAATACGAAAACGTCAGTGAAAAAACAATAAAACCCTATAACTTTCTACTCTTTCAGTTTATAGAACATAAAGTAAACGAGTGATTTTGTTACCTGGTTTTGAAACAAAAAAAACTAAGACACAAAGAGATACTTATTTAATTTCTATTTTTATTTTAATTAATAAATTAATACTAATGTGTATGACACAAAATATGTTTGTTAACAATTTATGCTACTTTGAATATTAGCCTTAAAGGATGTTAGAGTTGTTGAATACATTTAAGTAAACGGCATGTGGTGGACAACGGTGGCCGACGGCAGCGGCACGTAGTAGTGACATCACAGAATTTTTCCGACGGAACATTTAAGATTTGCCACACTCTTTTTGACAAAATCCCTGTTTCATTGTTAATATAGAAAGTAGTATTTTGAAGAAAGTTGAAATATTTCTGAAAGCTTATTGTTTATTAAATGTGGGTAAAAATTAATGACATCCATATCTTAATCGAATAAAATCGAAATAAAATGTACGTAAAACATGAATGGATTGCCTTAAAGTATGCGATTATTATTCGAATTCTAGTTAATAGTAAATACTTTATTTGTGAGATTAATCTCAGAAAAAAACAACACATAACACAACAATTTCATAAATTTAAACTAGTAAATAAATTAACTACAATGTAAACGCTTTAATTACTTAGAAATAAATATTTATTCGATTTATTGATTTCCCTGTGTGACTACTGTAATCGACTATTAGTTGATCGAGTTACACCACTATTTTCGAGGTTATGCTATGATTGGGACACGTCAATAGGATATTTCACTTCAACAAATCGCTCGCAGTAACAAATGTGATGAAACCCTGTACATTTCCGTAATATTGTGTTTATCAAATAATTTTGTTTTTAAAATTGTGTTCAACGAAGTCTTTGTAAGTATTAAAAAATATACATTTTCAGTTTTATTTAATTTTTTAATTGCTAGTAAGTAGTTATACTTAGGTATAATAATTATTTGTTAATAGTTTGTGTTCGTTTTGTTTATCTAATGCTTTTTGTACATAAATGAAAAATATTAAATGAAAATTTTGTATAAACTACATATTTTCTTATGTAATAATATGAGTAAATAAGGGGATTGACACTTATCACATTGGGAGGAATCCCACAACATTTATAATTTTTGTGAAAATTACTCATCATCGATACTACATTTTGTCATCGCTAATATATTTTCTTCCAAAGAACCTGATAAGATTATTGAACCACAGAATAAACTATTCCTTAATTACTTTTTTTGTCATTAATTGCTAAGATAATAATGATTGATCAATTAGTAAGATAATGATTTTGTTTTAGGCAAAATGAAGTTGCTGTCAAGTTTATTGTTTGTGCTGATGATACTCCACTGTTCCTATGCACCACCTGTGACTCCAGATAAGTCCAACGAGCAGGACAGCGAAGTCAAGGATGACCTGGTATGTATCTATAAATTTTTCCTTATTATGTACTCTTACTAAGTACATATTAAATAGTTCCCATTTTGTGCTGGACATACAGTACATTCTTGCTCTTTTCTCATTGCCTTCAAAAGGTTACAAGTTTAAAAATAGAAGCAAGTAGCCTTCTACATTTCTGCTTGTAAAAGTAATGTCATTGACTCTGTGATTTCCATAAAGGTTATGGATCGATGTACACACACACATAGTCACATCATGTTTTATTTTTAATCCTGGTTGGAATAATTATGTGTGTATTTCTTGTTTAATTTGATGAATATTTTTAACTTTCTTAAATGAAATTGTAGTGTTATGTTATGTACTGATGAGTTTTCAATTGTATACACTTAAAACATTTTAACAGTAAACAGTATGCATAACAATCCTTAAATTATAGTGGAGGTAACAGAAAGAAGGATTATAAACTAGATAGGTAAACAGTTTATAAAATGGTACATATCACAGCTGTAGACAATAGCTAGCATCTATCCTAGTCATTCATGTGTGAAAATGCAGTAATTGTTATGACACTATCAACAACACAAAGGTATTGTTCTGCTTCATTTGAGGTTAGTATTTATGAACATTCTGTAAACATGTTTACAGTCCTACCTTTATTAACAATGAAATTTTTCATTGTGTTTATAGGAGGTGGGAATGTGCTTATATGAATTTATTATTGTTTTAACTTTTAAATTGAGCAAAGCGATATTTTATGAGCCAAGTACAGTATAAATCATCATCATGACACAGCTGTGCAGGGTGGATCTTTGATAAAAACCCCATAGATCTTGAATAAAAACTCCTTAACTTTAAATCTAAATAATAGGTCTGAATTGAAAAAAAGTTATATCGCTTTTTATATACATTATTATCACATCTTTCAATTATACAAATAGGGAGGCAGAGGGTGCATGTTTACAAGAGACCAGTCGTGTTATAAGTCTTATGTAATAAGGGGTGAGCCTGGTGCCCTAAATTTAGACTACTGATAAATTATTTGAAAACTGAAATCTCCTAAGTTATGCTTTGCCACACAATGTAATCAAAACAAACTACTTTTTTAATTAAAAAAAATAATAATACCAGCACTATTTGTTATTGCTGCCTGTGTTTAGGAGTAGGCTTACCATAACTATTTGAAATGAAATTTGTCACATCAGAAACAAAATAATCTGTACAATGACTGTGTTAACTTCAGTGGGAAATTCCAATAGATAGGTGATGAATATTACACATTTATATGTAGGACTGACTTAGAATAACCCACTGGGGATTTCTTATACCTAGCTGTGATTGATTAACATTGAATACCTACTAACAAATGTTGAAATTTATACATTTTTGACGTAAAACTACATAGGTATAATATATATAGTCATGTGCTCTTGTTTGTATAATTCCAGTGGGCCTAGGAATTCTTGCTAAATCTAAATTAAATAAATCTGTCTATAAGAACAACTGAAACTATTTTATTACCAAAAGTAACAGCTAAGCGATATAATTGTAGGGCTACACTATTTTTTTTAACTAGCTTCTTCTCTTGAGTTTGCTTGCGTCAAAATTGGAGCTTGCGTCAAATAATTTGAATCAATTTAAATGAATTTGGCATAACTGTCTTGGTTAAGTGAGAAAAACAGATTTCAGGTTCGAATCCTGTATCAACCAACATAATGATATAAAGTAGCCTGGGGCCTGGAGATTGTAATGGGCGCGCATAGTTGTTTTTTTATTACCGACCGAAATGTTCCTAGAGGTTGTGATTAACGCGTCCCTACATCTCTGACTTTGTATATCTCCTTTCGGAAATAAAAATCACGATATAATGTAGGCAGTAAGAGTGAAAATGTGTCAAAGAAGAGCCAATATCGCCCAATGCAGATCCAAGTCTGAACTCTGAATCATTAAGCTGTGACTAAACATTTAGTGAGTAAGTTTAAAATGTGAGCAAACCATGAAATCCAAAGCGATATGTTACACCTATTAAAGGCACACATGCAAAATTATGCACAGCGATTTGTTTTATGGCTTAAGCTAGAAAACCTGTTTTCAACTGTGGTTTAGAAAGTGTGGTAGCTGATGCAAAACTAACTTTGTTACATAATCTGTTTATAAACATTGCTGTGCGTAATCTAACAAATTCTAACTTAGAATATCGAGAGCTTTGTTTAATACTTGTCCTTTTTATAAAAAATATTAATAGTGTGTCTAACTGTTAAGCATTGTTTCTAGACTTATACAACACTAAAATATGTAAAGCAAATTAGACCCAAGTTTTCTAACAATAAAACCTTCTTTTGCCCTTAGGAGGAATACATGGAATACCACAGGTACCTAAAGGAAGTTGTCCAAGCTCTGGAGAGTGATCCTGACTTCAGGGAGCGATTGGAAAAGGCTAACGAAGACGATGTTCGGGTGAGATTTTTTTACAGATATTTCGAAGCTTATTTCTCATTATTTTTTGTGTAATGGTTCATGGCGAGAAAATAAGAACAAATCAACCATTACATAAAAAATCTACGACATAGCAATAATGTCTTCATGCTATTTCACAATCAATAGACTTATTACGTTGCTTGTAGAACGTTTAAAATCATTAATTAATTACACGTATTACGTTGCGTAAATCACATTTTGATTGTTTCTCCATAGTCTGGAAAGATAGCTGAACAGCTGGACTTTGTTAATCACAATGTAAGGACAAAATTGGACGAAATCAAACGACGCGAGTTGGACAGACTACGTCATTTGGCTACTAAGGTAAATGCTCATTTAATTATTTGTTTCCTCAACGCCGGGGGCTTTTGTACGATAACGTCTTTGACTTATTGCAAAACTCTTTGATTAACTGAGTGTGGTACTTGATAGTTAATCAATTGTTTACTGTTGATATCAGAGTTTGCTTTCTATTTATTCTTGCAAGAGGGGTCTTGAAAGGGAAATTTCCTTAATAGAGGTAAATAAATATATGCTTATATTTTTGGAAGATGGACTAAAAATCTTAGGCTTCCTAAGTCTCTTTTTTATTACGGACAGATGTATATACATATGTAAATGTAACAATCAAAATATGTTCTCTCTGTTTACGTAAAGTATTCTAATATTTTACTCCCTTTGTGACTAAGGGTTTACTAAAATCTTTCTTTTCATCGACAGCAATTCGAATTGACGAATAATTTAGAACAACACCCAGGACAGGTCGCTACAAACGAACATTTAGATCATAATAACCCACACACATTTGAGATTGAGGATTTGAAAAAACTTATTAAGAAGACTACTGCTGACTTAGAAGCTGCTGACAAAAAACGGAAAGAAGAATTTAAGGTATGTTACAAAACGTATAATTATATGAAGAAAGCGTGAATGGCTTCATATGCATAGTTTGTAATAAAAAACCTACTGACTATAAATGTTTTGACCTAAAACAATCGAACAGTCTTGCCTTGTAATTTACGACGTTTTTAATGTACTGAATTTTACGATCAAATAAATTTTGATATCCAATTTTTTCTCAATTTTGTTTTGCAATATCAGTGTAAGTAAATCGATTTTTAGGAATATGAAATGCAAAAGAAGTTTGAGGAACACCAGAAAGTAGAGGGCATGGAGGAGGCTCAGAAGAAGGAGTACTTGGAGAAAGCTAAGCAAGAGGAAGAGGCCATCAAACACCACAAGCCGGTAAGTTACTGTCCTGCGGAATGTACTTGACAAACTGTAATGACGTGTGTTAAGGAAAATGATACGTTAATATAATAATCGAATTCCCCCAGTACGTACATGATGTTGTTGTAATGTATTCAAAAACATCGACGTTATTATACCTAGCAGCTGATAAGGCCGACTGATTCTTTCAAGTAATTCGATATGGACTCGAGTTTTAATTTCACATGACACGAATTTCTTACTCAAATTGATAAAGTGACGTTGATAAAATACAGCTTCACCACCCCGGTTCTAAGCAACAACTGGAGGAAGTGTGGGAGAAACAAGATCATATGGAACAACAACAATTTGATCCCAAAGCATTCTTCATGATGCATGGTGAGTGGTAACTCGAATTTGTTATTAATTTTTAATTATTTGTAACAGCTACATCACCCCGTGACAAAGGATCACTTGTTAGAGATATGGAAAAACGCTGACAAAATGGATTCGAAAGATTTCAATGAAAAGGTGTTTTTCATGATGCATGGTAAGATCCATAGCGTGCAAGTCAAGTATAAACTTAGAACATGCATTAGTAAGTAATCGTCCGCGGTAGGTAACTCGATCGAACACAATGAAAAATAAATGTGTTTCAACAGTTACCGCACGCTACTTTGGATTTTACATACCTGCATGTAGTTTTGAGTTTTTGTAACTTTTATTCGTTGTCGTTGCTTTTATTTTACGATTTAATTAATAGTTTAAAAGTTTTAATTTGTTTTTAAAGTATTTTTCATTTTCACACACAATATAATTTATGCTTTGCATGAAAATATTGTAGTTTTGTGCATGATAGTGCGTCCATTTCGTTTGCGTTTGTTTTTTTTAATGAAGTAATTATTTTTAATTTGATTTTTGGTTTTGGTATTTGTATTTGATTTTTGTTTGTTCATTCCCCTATTTATTCTGGACAATATATACTATCCATTGTTCACGCAATAAGGTAAATGATCAGGTAATGGCACTATGAGTATTAGACGATAGGAACATTTTTATATCGAAACACAGATTTAATTTTATTTTTCCTCTAATTAATTTTTTTTTTTATGGCATAAGCCGGTAAACGAGGAGACGGATCACCTGATGGTAAGCAATCGGCGTCGCCCATGGACACCTGGAACACCAGAGGCGTTACATGTGCGTTACCGACCTTTTGGGGATTAAGAGTTTGAGGATCGTTGTGATTCAGGAATTGGGTAGATTAGGGAAGGGGAGGGTAATTGGGCCTCCGGTAAGCTCACTCAAGCGACGAAACACAACGCAAGCGTTGCTTCACGTCGGTTTTCTGTGGGGCCGTGGTATCACTCCGGTCGAGCCGGCCCATTCGTGCCGAAGCATAGCTCTCCCACACTTAAAAATATATAATAATTATAGATTATCCCGAACATTTATATACATTCTTATGTGCAGTTAATATTGAAAGTTAAATTATTTCGAACTTGTTCATGTTCACGTTATACGAGGTAAAGTTAATGCAAAATTAATTTTTCCTAGTTTATATGTCGTGCACATCAAACGTCTGTCGACATGAATATGCTCTATTTAGGCTAAGGACTAACGAAACGATTTTCTCTTGCGCCCGCCGTGGTTGCCGACCCGCAGCTTTTGTACAATACAGAAGGTTAGGTTAGGATTATGTCTGTAAAAAAATAAAACACATTTCACGACGCGTTTTATACCAGCGGCGTGTGCGATTGTTTGCGGCTCACGCTGCACCGGCGTGCGCGAGAAGTTGGCGGGCGATCGCAATAGGAGGGCCGGTCTAGAACTCAACTGATTGTTTTAGACGAGCGGTCTTGCGATAATCAACCGCTAGGTTAGCGGGCAATAACCGCATACCCGGCGGATTGTAATCGTAGAAAACTGCGGTTTTGTGAGTTTTGATAAAACTTCATTTCGCCACAGCGGCGGGCGCGTGTGCAAATCGCGTCGTGAGCCCTTTTATTTACAGAGCGTTTAGTTTGAAGGTGAAAACCTGAAAATAAAAATTAGTATAAAAATGAAACTGACAACATTATGACATAAAATAGGTATACAGCGTAGCTGCTGCTCGTGACTTCGTTGTCGTGTAGAAATCCTGTACCTTTTCTGCGACCATAGGAATCTCGTGAAATTCATACAAAATCTTTCTAAAAATTCGCCTTCGAACATTTTTTTAAACCACTCGATTACTTATTAGTATTACTAACGAATAGAACAATCGAGTATATTTTTTCGATATTAATTAAATCAATTTATTCACGTTTGTTACGGTCATACTTTAATAATATTATCGACAGATGTTGATGGCAATGGCGTTTGGGACGCTGACGAGGTGAAGGCTCTGTTCATCAAGGAGCTAGACAAGTTGTATGGCCCCGGAGGACCGAACAAGGACTTGCATGAGAGGGCTGAGGAAATGGAGAGGATGCGCGAACACGTCTTCAAAGAAAACGACAAGAACCGTGACGGTTTGATCGACTTCAACGAGTTTATGACTGAGACGCAGAAGGCTGAGTTCAACCAGGACGAAGGTTCGTGGTTTCTTTGAAACTATTCATTTTACTACACAATATCATCGGCCCGTGACAGTCCGCTCCTGGATTATGAGCCTTCTTAATAGGGTAGTGAACTGTTATGTTAGACAAGCTACATAAGAGGGTTTGCCATAGTCTCCGTGCCCTATGTTGTATATTTTACTAATTATAAAATAGTTCTATAAATGTGTCTTTAGATGTTGATGTTTAGGGACTACCTACAATTACACAAATTACGCTTGTTATTTAACATTCAATTTCTAAATACAACATTTACAACTATTCAACCCAAGTCTAGCGATAGATTTGACATGACTCGAACAATGAGATAGTTTTGTCTCTTAGTATTTGTACATCTCGAAAGAATAATCTCGAATCATCTTCTACACTTACCTACTATATGACATTCAACAATGCCACTGCATCCGCGTCAAGATGCAAGTCTTCCGCAATAGGATAATAGGTGTGGGTCGAAAATAGACCAAAGGAATTCAGTACAATTTGCATCTGCTAACAGCACAAACGATTACTTTTGATTGTCGGTACGTGCAGAGCCATATGCGACACAATTGAACGATTATTGTCTAATTCCCTTGATCGTTGCATAGGTGCTGGTGGTTTCCTGTATTTTTCTCACTATATATGGAGTGTATAAAGAGTTCTGTATGTTTTAATGCGTGTTTGTTAGCCTTAAGAGTAACGATGGAGTTTCTTGTTCATTGTTTCCCATGTGAATTAACATGTTGGACTGAGCATCTTCTTTATTATAGTGTACCTTCACATTAATGATCTTGCTTCTGGGATGCTGAACTTAAACAATATTCAGTACATTTGCAGAGATATCTATGTAATAGGATAGCATAAAGATATTCTGGCATATGGTCATGTAGAACATCGTATTGTCGAAATAGAGTAAAAAGAAAATTTTAATGGCATAGAATTAGACGTTTGCCACAACAACATATCATAATTACTTAATACGCTATTACTTATCAGGTCAAATGAAATGTATTTACCTATTATATGTCATAATTTTCGTCTATGCTTCTAAGATGGGATTTGATTACATTTCAGGGTGGAAGACTCTGGAGGAGAATCAAGTTTACACTCAGGCCGAGTACGAAGAGTACGAGAGGAGGAGGATGGATGAAATGAGGTACCTGCAGCAGCGTGGCTTGGTAAGCATTGTCTATACAAGCTTTCAATGAGCACTAGACTCTTAAGACTGCCTCGTTGGCCGAGTGGTCGCAAGTGCGACTGCCGGGCAAGGGGTCTTGGGTTCGATTCCCGGGTCGGGCAAAGTATTACTGGGTTTTTAAAAATCCACCCCCTATACTACATGGGACTCATAACATAAATAGTGAAAAGAGGGTGTTACATTGTACAGTGGCATTAAGTGCCGTAATGTGCACCTCTGCCTACCCCTTCGGGGATAAAAAGGCGTGATGTTATGTTATGTAGACTCTTAAGAACTAGGATAGAGAAACTTAGTAATTATAAAGTTCCATTGCATAAGAATAATTTGTCTTGTTGATACACACCAGTCACATAAAATAAATAGAATAGAAAGAACCAGTCACATACAGTGAACTAAATACAGTAAACAAACGATTTTTCATGAATGAGTAGGTACAACAACCTTGAAGAATATTTGTGAGAGCTGAATACATAATTATTTCAATTATATATTCATAACGTTGTTACGGCTAATATAGGTGAAGTACCATTGCATAATATTTTGTTACAAGTAATTATATATCTCGTTAGTATTCATGGAGGATAATAAAGTCAAGTAATTCGTTTGTTTAGACGTAGATATATAAATCTTTATTTAGTTTAGACACGGACGTAATTACAGTAGAAATTAGTGAAATTACTCTAATAATATGAATCGCTTACAATTGAACAAATTGTAATAGTAATTGTCTTCTTTACAGGTTGATGCCCATGGCCAACCGATCCCCGGCGCTCAGCATCAGATTCACCAGGCGCTCCAACAATACCGGGCTTACCAACACCAACAGGCTTACCAACAACAAGTAGCACACCAGCAACAGTTCCAAGGCCAACAGCAGTACTACCCGCCCGGACCTCAAGGTCAAATGCCTCCAGGACAGGTGCCTCCCTACCAACAACATCCCTCGCAATACCAACAAGGACAACCGCAGTACCAACAAGGACAGGGACAATACCAACAACCACCTCAAGGCCAATACCAACAAGTACCTCAGGGCCAATATCAACAAGCCCCCCAGGGACAGTACCAACAGCCACCCCAAGGACAATACCAACAGCCACCCCAAGGACAATACCAACAACCACCACAGGGCCAGTACCAACAACCACCTCCAGCTCAATACCAAGGCCAGCAGCCGCAGGGACAACAAGCTCCCGTAGCACAAGGACAAGCGCCGCCACAGGCTAACGTGAATCAAGCTCAAGCGCCGTCTGCTCAACCTGTTCAGACTCAAGGACAGGCGCAGCCCAGCCAAGGCCAGGCCCAGCAGGTGCCCGTGCAAGCTCAACCTCCGGTCCCTGCACAGGCCACCCACCAAGTTCCCCAACAAGTACCCCCGCAAGGACAAGCCCCACCAGTACCAGCACAAAACGTAGGAGCTAATCATTAGATAATAATATAATGCGTACATGTTATTAATGTGATTTTTTTTATCTCAATTGAGAGTGACTATTTATTTTTAATTTTTTATATATTCACTAAGGAGTGCCAAAATTCTCTCACGCTTTTTTATTTCATTTATTTCCCCAAGATGCTCGTTTTTTAAATTATTTATAGCTGTTCTGACTTAGGCGGAATTATGTAAATTAGATAATATTTAAGTAGTTAAATAAATAAATAGCAAACCTGTGAAATTGTTTTAATTAAGTAGACACAATTTCCCATACAGCTATTTCAGTTTTGCTAATAGTTCTCATAGAGTACATGAATGAAACAATGTACCTAATATTCATTAACTATTTTCACAAAACGTAAATTCTTAAAGTAGGTGACATTGATTGACGTATGTTTATGTCTGGGGTATACTACTATGTCTTACATCCTTGGATATGCTAAGTTCAGAAGTTAGACTTGTATTACTCTATATAATAATATAATTTATTACTAGCATCACCTTTGGCTTTGTGGTCATGCTCTGCGAATTGTTAGAAATACTACAAAACTGTCTAACAGCTTCTAACATGGAAACTTTCCTAATAAGTGTCTACCCATCTGAGAAATGGATCAAACGTATTGCTGATTTTACCCAAATCGCATTGCTATAATCGTACCTACCTATATGAATGGCTGGCGCATGCAAACACTTATATATCGAGAAAAATTATAAATAAAAGCTAATTTGAAATTGTTTTTATTCCCACCATTATGTTGTATCTTGTAAGCCAGCGCCATCTGTTACAATAAAATAATTGCTCCATCTTAGATATGAAATCCTAAGATTTGCTCCGTATTCTCGCGACAGATGGCCCTAAAAGGCACTATTTGTACATAACGAAGAGTACCTAAAGAAATATAGCACGAACGGCAGGGAAGATGGAAATGTAAATGAAAGTAATTTGGTAAGTTTTCGTCTTGCTAAGCAATTATTCTACTGAATATATAAAAACCGACTTTCAAAAACCAAAAACTAACAAACAAACAAAAAGTAAAAAATAAACAGCAAAAAATAACTATTAATAAAATTGATAGGTTACCCACCTACTGATAGGTTAGAAATCGGCGCCATAAGTCTTATCAAAATTATCCATTAGATTACCCTAATAGGTAGGCACTGCTGAATTTGGTGATGATAAGCTCTAATTTGATCATCTACCTGAAGTCCTAAAAATTTGGAAATGGTGATTTTGAGCAAAGGACATAGCTGAAAACCGAACTCCCCTTCGGCGAGTCGAAGGAGACGTAACCGTTGCCATATTTACCATACACGGTCGGTAGGCAACTTGGAGATCGGCTTAGGACAATTAGTTCACTAAAAAATTTAAAAGAATTTAGCTCTCCGTCTTTCGGTGTAAAGTTGCAGTTTTCGGACACATCCGGGTCCGCTTCTGTTTTACAACGGGTCGAATGGTTATGATAGGTAGTCAAAATTATTAATCTCTTGATATCCTTACATTTTGATAAGTTCCAGTAAATCCAACTCCGGTGAGGTACCCATTAGTTCGAGTACAGGTATTAGATGCGATTCCATAATTTCGTGTCGTGATTGTATCCGGCATGTGTACCTACCTATACTGCGCACTAAGCCCTTCGCATTCCATTTACGAACACATTTAGGGTGCTGCTATGGCTACCCTGCTTTTGTTGTCATGGTAGTGCATCAGATGGGGGCAGATTGCGTCCATTGTAAGTATATGGTAATGAAGATGGACGTCCCTATCAGTAGGGGTAGTGCCAGTAGGTACGGTATCCAATTATCCAGACACGTGGCTTGTTTCGTCAGTGTCAGAAGCAGTATTCTAGACTTAATTGCAAAGCGATTGTAGGTATAGGTAGGTACTATGTATGTACTGTGTACGTGCGTAATTACTTTATCCATATTGTATACCTTTCTGTATACCTACCTAGTGCTTTTGTATCTACGGCGATTTATACATAGTTAGCTGATGCGCCTTAGTCCCTCTGCTCACTAAAGGTGCGTTCCTATTCCTAACAGTAGGTAGCCACAAAGCTTACAAATAGTTCGTCTGATGTGAATGGTTACCGCGCTGCCTACGCAAAGCTGCAACATCAAAGGCATAGTACATGTACATCTCAGATCACGTAGGAAAATTACTATGTTTATTATCGGTAGTAGGTAGCTTCTAAGCATTGTCACACGCTCAGTATGAAGGTGTCTAGGTACCTATCAACGTATGTATGACTACTGTGCTACTACTTTGAAACCCATTAGGTGCTTCAGTAAAGGAGGTCAGGGCTTTTCAACTTACAAACTACCTATACATTATCTAGTGAAAACAATATCTTAACTAAAAATTGCGGGTTACTCACGTGAATATACCTACTGAGAAAAGCTCTACTAGTTTCGAACTACAGAGGGGTTATTTAAAACATATATTAAGCGCGAATTATGTAATCAAGCTTACTACACACTGACAGATTATCTTGAAGATAAGAATGCTTGGCAGCATGTTGGTTCGGCTCCACTGGACAATACTCAAATGTAGTCAGTAGTTAAATTCCAATAGTAGGTAATATAATACATAATTTAATACTTTAATTCTAATGTAGACAATCTAGTTTCCTTATGGCATCGAGCATTTCTTTCTTTATTGAAACAAAGAGTTTCCTTTTTCTTGTATAGAAGCACTATTTCTATGGATTGTCAGTATGCATATGTGAGCACCATGTTGGACTTAAGATCTTTATTATTTTTATTTTTATTTTAGTAAGTTAATAGTATAATGCGTCAAGCGTGTCTTTGCATTGTTCTTACATATGCGTACAGTATTGAAATATGTATCAGAGACATTGTAGAACATACTTTTTTAAAAGAGTAATGAATGGAGTTTCTTGCTCGTTCTTCTCCATTCGAATCTACGTTTTGGAATGAGCACCTAGCTTCACCTAGCTTCACTGACGGACTGACTGACAGACTATTATTTATTTTGTATTTGTTGACGTTTCAAAAGTACCAAACTATGGTTTAATTGAAATAAATGCTTTGACTTTGACTTTGTTCTTCCTCATAAGCAGCGTGCGCGATCGCGGCGATGTCGCATCCTAATCAGTATATTCACGTGAGTAACCCGCGATTTATAGTTAATTTAGTATGTCTCACGATGACGAAACAAAACAATATCTCCTTGAAAAATATACAGCTAGCGAAAAACCTGCAGACAATAGTTAATATTTTTCTGACATAAACAGGAAAAGCAATTTATATGTCTTTAAGTTTAAGCAACCATTTATTACAGTGCAATAATAAAGCTGTGTAGGTAATGAAAATACATTTGTACATAAAGAGGAAAAAAATGTTATGATCAAAGAGGGATTGAATGTCGAAAGCACCCAAGGCCAGCAACTAATTGCGCTAGTAATTAGGTAGGTACATTAATGCCTGCAATCCGAGCTCTTTAAAAACATCCGAGGGCGCCCCTATTCAAAACAGCGGCCCTAAGCTTGTGCATATAACTGTATACAGCCCTAGGGATAATCCGTCAATGTTTACGCTAAAAGCTGAGTGAATACACTGAAGGGAGATAGATAGGTACATAAATGTAATGTCAGTAAAAGTACGTACCTAGGTATTTAGATAAATCAGTGAATATTTTTCATATAGTTAGATGCCGATATCTCATGTTCAAAATAAAATTATCGTAAACTTTGTAAGCCCAAGATTCTAAGTAGGTACCTACTTACCTAAAACTATTAACTTTTGAAAGTGATTAAAGGAACGATATACCTACCCACTATTACCTACCTATAGATATCGATAGATCTTTTCCATCTCACTTTATAGTTGCATTTTCATTGATAAGTACATACAAAGGTACTTGGGTTTTAACTGATAATAATAAGCTAGACAAAAAGATAACTGTCTACCTAGAAGGTAAAGGTGTTAGGAATTATTTCCGCTTCACTTCAACATTAAATCTAACATTGGTATCTAATATTACATAGGTAGATACCATTGATAAATGGTCGGTATTTTTACACATAAGTAGGCACCCATGTAGGTATGTGTCAGGTATCGTATCACCCTCTCAAATTGCAGGAGCACACCACTACACTTGCAAATACTTTGTATACCTAGAGTCTTTACGATGTACATAGTACCTAGATGTTATTACATTTTGAACTCACACAGACGTCTAAAATAAAATTCTGAACATTTCCAATACACCGAGCACAGGTAGTGTTGATCACACAAATGTTCGCAAAGCATATCATTTTCATTAAATTTTTACAAAGCGAAGTTACTTAGACTTTATGTGATTTTTTAATTTTGTAAGACTAGACATAAGATTATTTAGATACCACTGACAAACGGTGAAAGAAAACGTCGTGGGGAAACCTGGACTTATAAATTTCTAATTATAAATCGCCAACCCGCATTGAGCAAGCGTGGTGATTAATGCTCAAACCTCATCTGTGCGAGAAGAGGCCTTTGATCAGCAGTGGCCACTTATAGGATATTGATGTTGATGATGATTCGGTGTAAGATAACATTAGTAGGTAGAAAATTCTTCACAGCGCTGGTCCATTCGATTCGATTCCAAAATTCGCATCAGTATTTTAGCAACCCGTGAAATATAACCCTAACATCTAATTATAAGATAGATAGATAAGATCTATATATAAAGAACAAAAACTTTCATCTATGTGTTTGATTCACAAACTAAATTATGAATACCTCTATTATTCTAACACCTCTTAGGTACTCGTTAACATAAAAATAACTACATAACAAGCTGTTAAACTGCAATAAAGTTTTATAAGTGCTAAGTTGCTAACACGATGTAATACAAAACTGACAACTCCAAGCAGAATAACTTCCACCTAGCTGGTGCTACTGGATAACTACCAAGTTATCCAGTTAGCATAATATTACTACAAGTTTCGAACATATTATAACAAGCGTAACTACAATCGTCTCTACTGAAAAATAGTTGTCATGTAGAGTAGAACATTCATATTTTAAAGACAAGCCTATTCGTCCTGTTTT